CCGGGTTAGTAATTTCCGCGCCAAAAATTTCTACGTGCCCGTACGTGAGCCCTGTACGAATCCTAAGGATTTAAGTTTGAAAACTTTTGGTAGTATATGAGTAGGGAACATTCCTCCAAAGTAGGAAAGGAGAAATCAAGCTAGGAAAGGAGTGTGCCGCTCTGTTAAAATTAGTAATATACGGATACGAAAAGCAATCAATAAAGCAACCAGAAGTGCAAACGCTTGTTATGACAAACATCGACTTTTTGAGCATAAAATGCATGAAGAGCCCTTTGCATCCATAATAAGCAAGTGCTTCGAGATCGATGGCTTGAAGTTTATCGCTTAGACCACGTGATGGAATAAAAACGAGTGATTGGAATACCCTGTTCCTTTTGCTGGACGTAACTTAACAAAATGATAAAGACCCACTGGGCATTACCGAAGAAGTGATTTGCGTATTTACTATAAACTGAAGGTCCTAACAAGATACCTGCAGCCTAAAGAGCTATATGGCTTCGGCCCATATGTGAAGGCTCATTTCTACAAAAAAAAAAAAATTCCTATGAGCGGTGCAAACCATCACATTAATAACAAACGCAGCGAAGAAAACAGTAATTATTCAAAGTATTAAATCAAAATAACCAGCCAATACTATCTGTTATTGTCCAGCGAAGCCGTTAGGCCAACAAAGATTTGCAATAAAAGAGCAACCACTATATCATCGTGAAATTTCTCTTACCTCCTGCACTATGTTCAATGAATTTTCGTAACTTTCCACATAGGCCCGGAGATCGCTCACATTCAGCGTTTCCTTAATACTAAAATATTTTGTTTAGAAATAAAGATTTCCTGCTTTATCCATACTTTTCTATAATCGAACACAAACAATTAATGCTTTCAATTTGTTATTCAATTCTCAATAGCCCCAAAAGAAAGCGCTGCCAGCGGGAGATCGCTGAAAAGTTGTGCTGACGATTGGGCTACTTTCCAGTTTCGATTAATCGAACAGATTCATTTCTTTATAAACAATAATTCCCTCCTTGGCGTATTCAGCTACTGCTCGACTCACCATCACTAATTTCTAAGTGTTTTTTTTTTTTTGTATCCCGTTCAACCACCTCGTACATTTTACACTTTGATAGCACATAAATTTATCACTGCAGTGGTAGAGTTGCATTATTGTGCCCGTACAACTTCGCAACCGATGGTAAGTAGGTAAATAAGAGGCCCTAGAAAGAAAGAAAAAGCCCCCCTGACTACGCAGGAAAAACTTAACGAGATGCACTGTTTTTCCTGCTTTTTTTTTCATCCCTACATTAGTATTAATAATAACTTCATAATTTCTTAAATTTCTCACAAAAATTCCTCT